TAACTTATTTAATCCCGCTATTCTCAAAAACATTTTGAGGAAGTCACAACTTTTTTAAAAAAATATTCACCCCTAGACTTTTGCAATGAACGTATGTACTGTCAGTTCCATTTCAATGGAACAAGTTTAGCCAAATGAAGGGGAAAAAACACCATTATACTATAATTGAAGGACTAAATTCACTGTAACCCTATAGTTGTAGAACCAAAAATATCAGGCATCACACTGCCATTATAAAGGGTCGAGTTTGAGCTACCGTGAGTTATTAAGCAATCAAGCTTCGGTTTCTTTATAGGAGATAAAGCACTACAAATAGTAAAATACCAAAAACATCATAGTAAGCAAGAGGCTGAAATTGAGTACAATAACACAATGGCAATGCTCCATAACCGAATTTGCAGATATCCACAGGGCACTATAAACTAACATCATATGCTACTATTGGCTCCCCAAAAAGAAGTATGATACATCTAGTCAACTTAAATAAGATAATAACACAAATTATTTCTAAAGGAATAGAATATATCCGAGCAAAAACCGGAAAAAAAAAAAAAAAATACCTAGGCAACTAAGACAATAGTCAGAGATTACAGTAGGACACCCCCCCTATTCTCAGTTTTTACTTCCTCTTTCTCTTCTTCCCAATCTTTGACTCAGTTTCTTGCTCCTTGGATGCTCCCGAAACTTTCCCCTTCCCGCTATCTGGTGTTTTTGCTACCTCTGTGGACTTTTCCTTCACATCCCCAGTCTCCTTGCCCTTTGACATAGACTTTCCTTTGCCTGTACCGCCATTGGCACTGGGCTTACCACCGCTTTGAGGAGCTTTACCTTTTGACCTGGGGATTGATTTTGTCACAGTGTCTTGCTGGGATTTGCTGGCAGTCTTAGGAGAGATATCTGTCTTGGACTTAGACCTCGGAGAGCTGCTGCTAATAACATCTTTCAACTTACCCAAGCCCTTTTCAGAATCATTTTTAAGTTTATTACTAGTCACATCCTTAGATTTACCACCAGATTTTAGGCCGCGGTCTTTGGATTTTGGCTCAACAATAGCATCATCCTTGGATTTACGACCAGATTTTGTAGCTGTGCCTTTGGCCTTGGATCCACCACTGCTTAAACATTACCCCTTAATGAATATTCTCTCACATCATGTCCACAAATTATTGACACAAACAAACGAATAAATGAATTACAAACCTCCTAGGTGAAACATCTGACCTGTCATGCTTAGATGTTTCAGCCTGTCTTCTGGTTTTTTTCTTCTTCGGCCTGCAATAAAGAATGAGCACATAAACAAATAGAAAAAAAAATATATTGCAGAAGGATCAAAAGTCAAAAGAAAAGGTTAAAACCTGAAGAAATGTTCTAAAATATGGAAGGAGTACAAAATGATGGAACATAACAATATGATGAAGACAACAAATGGTATCGTCTGATTAGCAGAAGCAAGAAAACAGACAATATGGAGCAGGATACTGGAATAAGATCTAAAATTTGGAAAGAATATGGAATGATATGACACCATGCAAAACTTTCATTCAACATTGGAAACATGTTCTATATAATGACTATTATAAAAACATCCTATATAATTCATAAAGTTCCTACGCTTAATTTTAATGGCTGTCTCAAAATAATAAAAACCTTCCACCACTTGAAGATCATATCCATATAATATTGTCTGGTATGATTGTTGTAGATAGAAATGTGCTTAACTAGACCCAAAATTCAGAAATCCGGAAAGAAATACTCAGTAATAGTTGTTAAAGGAGAGCCCCAAAGCACACAAAAAGGATCAAAGAGAAATGGTAGGAGGGCTGAAAAGATCTTAAAAAGACATTGACACGTCCAATAAAGAAATAAGCTTTTACAGACACAGCATAGCAACAAGTTTGGGAAAACATGATGACACTAATCTCTAAGAGTTGACATCGATGAAGTTGCAGAGAAAGAAAGACTTCATCACATGCTGGAAATATATTACTTGGTACTTCCAATATGATATGACAATGTTCAAAACAAATATTCATTTATCAACGAGGTTCAACTTATATCCTCGATTACTCAGAGAACATATAGTAACATAAAATCTTTTAACGGGTAGGAACAGAGAGAGAGAGAGAAGAATGATAATGTAAGAACACCAACTCAATCCTTGTTTTCATAAAACACCTAATAGCAAGAGAGAATAAGTTGCTCATCTAATGAAAAAGTAGCACTCACATCTCGGCAGAAGCATCGGGGCTAGATGGTTCGTCCAAGTCCTGTCAAAATAGGATAATCAAATAATGTCTAAAAGTGATTTAAAAATGAAGGTAGGAAATGCACATTGACTGGAAACATACTGATTCTCCCATTAAATGTTCACCAACAATTTCCCATCGTTCCTTCCTAAGATTCAGAACTTCTTCATCTCCATCAGTGTACAAAACCTGATTAAATATAATGGAACTGTTCATTTTCTGTAAGAGCCACATGGCATAAACAAACCATCAAAGGAAAAAATGAACAGACCGTATGCTTCTTTTTAACAGGATCATAGGATGCTACAACACCTTCATAAAATCTGCAATTGGTAAAGCAAAGTTAGCTTTTTGATAAAATTTCAAAACATATTAGCATATAGCCAACAAGCCATTAAGCTTTTTGATAAAATTTTAAAACATATAAGCATATAGCCAACAAGCCATTGGCTCATGTTACACCCGGCAGTACTTAGGAGTTAGCACAATAATACAGCAATGAGGCAGGGTGGGATTTGCCAGTGAAATTCCAGCCCATAAAATGAACACCCAACCGTAGCCATATAACCTACACCCATTAAATCATTCACTCCTCTTGTGACGAGGATCTCAAAAGCTCCTGATTTATATTATAGATGAATGAGAAGAACTTACACACTATCCAATGGCCACCAAACTTTGACCTTGGAACCAACAAGGCTCTCATCATATGCTATATCCGGTACCTGACATACATTAACCAATCAAGCATTTGCATTAAAAAAAAAAAAAGAATAATTGAACTCAGAAAAAAATGAAGTATGCAGATCAAGAGAAGACCAGGGCAATCATAACACCACCCCACCCCTCACAAACACAGATAAATACATCCTCAAAAGGTATGTCTTCAAAACAACAACCAAACCGAAAATAATTTCCAAGATGAAAGTGAAGGTTTAGTATGATATATGAAAAAGGTTTAGTATGTAGCATTTGAGTTTCAAATCATTTAAATAAATTTATAAAAAAAAAAAAAAAATGCATGCAGTTTCAGTTAAGTCAGGAAAATATAATAGTACTTTCTCCTTGCCCAAAGGACGCTTTCTCTTTGTGTTCTTCCTTTGGCTTCCTTCTTTACCATCATCTTCAGCAGACCTCTGAGGAGACTCTTGTGAAGACATCTTCTGCATGATGAATAGAAATGTTCATTTAGATGGACTTAGAATAAAAATAATAGGATCACAGAATTTAGATTTGATAGTGAGAAGTCAAAAATTACATTGCTATCATCTTTTGCAGAGGATTTTGGCACATCAATGTCCATATTAGCCTTTCCACGTCCACGTCTTTTTGTGTTATTCTTCTTTCTCATTGAGGAACCACCCTCTGTGATATTAGTCTCAGCCTTCTCACCTCGCTGTTTTATGTCTTTTGCCTCTGCATCACTCATGGTGCCAGCTTCTTCCTCGTGAGAAGTCTCAGTCTGCACCCTGATACCAGGATCCTCCTGTGGCTGTGCTTCAGAATCACTTGTCCCATCAGATGGCTTCTTAGATGCAATTTCAGCAGAGACACTCTCTTCCTGAACCAAATCATCATCCTCCTTTGGCTGAGTAGGCTCTTCTTCCTCGTGGATTTCATCAGGAAGGCTCTGACTAGGGTGTGAGGAAGCAACATTGGCAGCTTCATCCTCAGATGTTTTATGTGGAGAAACCTGAGCACTAGTCTTGTTTTCATCCAATAGTTTGGCTGCCTCATCAGTTGTGTTGTCAGCAGGCAAACTGTCAATATCTTCACCTTTACTTTTTTGTTCATCTGGATGATTCTCAGGTGAATTTTCAACAAGAGAACCATGAACATCTCTCTCACTTCTTTGACTATCTGGAAGCTTCTCAGTCTCTTTGTCTGTATTATCAGGATCAGGAGTTTGATCCAAAGATTCTGCAGAATTTGTTTGTGACTTAGACTTCCCTCCCTGTTCCTTAGCACTGTGCTCAGACTTGTCTGGCTCTGATTTCATTGAGCTATTAGCCTGTGAATCATCAGTGTCAGATTTAGGTGTCAACTTTGCAATATCTGTCTGGTTAGGACCATGATCCCCCAACTTTGCTAAAGATTCAGTTTCTACAGAATTCCCTCCATTAACACCACTACTAGTAACTGACTTGGGAGACGTATTCACAGCTTGATTTTCATCTTTAGAACATGCCTCTTGTTTGGTGTCAACAGCCATCTGATAGAAGAAAAGATATATTATAATGACTATGCCTAAATACATATACACAATAATGTGCCACAGCAAGCGCTATAACAATTATTGCTTTGCCAGAGCACTAATGCACAATGCTAGACTTGCTAACAAGCTAGCCTGCTCTTAAACTTTTAGAAGTGAAACTCCAACAGTCAAACATGTCTGGCATAACTCATCAATTTTAGTAGCTTCACATATCTTTACCTGGCCCAACTCATCTGAAGACACAGTAGATGCTTTGTTCTCAACAGTCTACATATCATCCACACAAATAAGTAATCTTCAATACAGAAATTCAAAAAAAAAAAAAAAAAAAAAAAATTATTGAAACAGTAAAACAAAACAAAAATAATGTACTCATATACCTGAGTTTCCTGTGCTCTCTCGGCAGAACTAGCTAACTTGCTCTCCACACACTTGAACAAGTCATAAGGGTGCACAAAAGTTAGTTATGCGTTCAGAAGGCAGTTAACTGACTTCAAATGCAAAATCTCAACAAGCACAGAATTTATATACATATATTAAAACTAAAAGAATAGTATATTAACTGATAAGCAAGATTGGATGATAAGATCATTCTACAAGGAATTAAACCTTGATTGGGAAAAGGGTCAAATAAGCCCTCCAACTATTGCTAAGAAGTCAATTAGGCCCTCCAACTATTTTAAGAAGCAATTACACCCCTAAACAATGTATTTTGATGCAAAGAAGTCCAAATACAGGTAAATGACCTGTTATCCCATGTCATCGCAAATCTGGCGACACTCCGACGTATTTTCCGGCAAAAAAGTAACCGGCAACCGGCGAACGGTCGCCGGTCACGGAGACCCCTCCCGGAGAAGGCAACCCAGAAATCTGGGTTGCCTTCTCCGGCCGAGAAGGCCACAGTGGCCACCACTGTGGTGGCCTTCTCGACCGGAGAAGCAACCCAGAAATCTGGGTTGCCTTCTCGGCCGGAGAAGGCAACCCAGATCTGGGTTGCCTTCTCTGGTCGAGGACCGGAGAAGGCAACCCAGATTTCTGGGTTGCCTTCTCCGGGAGGGGTCGCCGGTCACTTTTTCGCCGGAAAATACGTTGGAGTGTCGCCGGATTTGCGATGACCTGGGATAGCAGGTCATTTACCTGTATTTGGACTTCTTTGCATCAAAATACATTGTTTAGGGGTGTAATTGCTTCTTAAAATAGTTGGAGGGCCTAATTGACTTCTTAGCAATAGTTGGAGGGCTTATTTGACCCTTTTGCCAACCTTGATTTAAACAGCACAAAGAGACATATCATAATGCCACCACACACACACAACTGTGTCAGTATTAACAAGAGAACACTGAAGAAAATATGGGATTTGCTCCTCATTGCAATGATACAGAGAAGAAAATCTGGAATAACTGAAGAAAATTCTTAAAATGTATGCAAGGGTTGCTAGGTTGGTATGTTAAAGCCAGAAGTAGAAGAGCAGTTCATTGCCTTCACAAAATGGCTACATCACGGTACAGACATACATACCATAAGAATCTCAGCAGTCAAGTGTAAACAATTCAAACACTCACCAAACTTAGACATAAAATCAACTTAAACTAAGCAGTAAAAGAAATGCAAATGCCAGCACTACACACAAGCTATAAAAATTCATGTTGTGCTAAAATGTTGATTCACATTCCAGACATGCATGAATTACAAATAAATGAAGTACACTTAAACACCATCAACTGGAAACACTTTAGACAATCAATGGAATTTGTTGCAATGAATTGAACAGAAACCTATAAAAAGTGATTATCTAGGTCTAGAGAAAGGGGGCTTGTTGACATCTGAAATTCTTGTGCATGTCATGAATAAGGTGCTTTGTTGCACAGCTATTGCTTCAATAAAATATTTACTTATCAAAAACAAAATGTTATTCTAGTGAATTATAAAAATACTTTAGTAATTAGTTTAAAGAGAATTTAGGTTGAGTAAACAATGAGACAAGGCTGAGGAACATAGCCACTTTCATAATTATCTTTATTATTGCTACCACTACTACTATTCTTATAAATAGCAAAATGCCCAGTTTAATTAGAAAGAAGCCCAAAAGCTTGTATGCTAATTATAGTAAGTGTCAATAATAAGACTTCCCACAGGACTATCCAACTGGAATTTTAGAAGTTTTCTTCACAGTGTCAACAATATATGACATAGAAATGGAATGAGTAAGAATTGTCCTGGCAAATAGGAAAGCAGTCTTAATGTTGGTTGAAATCTTTGATGATTTAGGGAAATAAAAGCAGATAAGTATAATAACTTTAGAAAGGTGACAATACCGATAGTTCTTTCAAAGTATCATTATTATGCTCAGCAGCTACAGGAGTCCCTTGCAGTATGGAACTTAAAACTTCACTGTACTCATCCAAAGAAATGCCCAGAGATTTTACAGCATGAGTTATGTAAGGCTTTAGCTTGCTAGCACAGTTTACAACTACACTCTCTGCCAACCTTTTACCAATTGGCTTTATCTCCTGAAACAACAAAACCAATCAGCAGGGACCCAATTACTACATTAAGGAGAAAGATCAGGTCAGAAATAGTTAGAACAGTACCTCATTCTCCTTTTTGACACTATCCAGTAGCTTAGTAACCAGCTCCATAGAAATATCTTCACTTTCTTCGAGTACAAGTATCATGATTGATTCCATGGATGAGAAGATATTGTCTGGATGATATTCTCTGAGAGTTGAAGATACGGCTTAGAGAAAACTACTCAATTTCCATCAACATGCATATTAAGTTGTCAAAGTTAAACAATGATTAATGCACCTTAAAGAACACTACTCTAGAGTCTAGATATTATTTATTCATCCTGTGTTTATAATTCATATTTCATTTTAAAAAATACAAGTATTTCATTGATGCAATGCTCTCGTAACCGCATATTTTTATCCTAATAATATGAAGCCCTCTGTTATCTAATGCATGAAGAATATATTAGTTAAATGATGCTCACAGTGAATTCTACAGATCAATGAGATAAATTTTCACAAAAAGAAAGGAAGAACGAATTTAAGGAGCTGAAACTAGCAGCTTGATTTTCACATGTGCATGACATATTTATATCATTTCTTTTTTATTTTATTTGTAGTTGGGGGATGAGTGGGTGACATAGAAAAGGTAAGTCTAAATTGATTAAAGTGAAAATTGATGTGTTTCATCACCAAAGTGAATTGCAGCTTGAAATTTCAGCAAGTACATAACTACAATTCTTATGTTCAGAAACAATAATGGTTGAAGTAAAAAAGAGATAGTTGTGAAAATAAGTATCCAATTTAAATTAAAATTCCCACCAAAAGAAAAAGAAGTATGTAACAACATTGAATATATGGAACTTATGGTACAGCAACAACAAAAATGTTGAGCGTTATCAGTAATAATGTCATACCTAATGGCCTTAAGGAAGTGCTGAAACATGTCAAAGATAAGTGCATCACATTCCAGATCCAACATAACAACACATAACCGGACCTTGGACACGGTTTCAAGAATCATAGCCCTCTTACTAAACGATCTGCTTGACTCATCATATAAATTCTCAAAAGACGAAACTATTAATTGGAAGACAACCTGTATATAAACAATAGAATTTTACATGGTGCTGGTGAAAAAGAAAATAGAAAAATAATGGGATATTGATACCTTCATCTTTTCATCATCATATGGGGCATCCGGTGCAGTAATTCTTGTGATCTCACTTAAGCAAGAAGCAAGGGCAACCTTCACATCAACATCAGAATGCCTCAAAAGTTCATCCGCTACCAATGCCTTAATCATTGGAGAAAGTGCATCATGCATGGATTTAGCTGGTGACTGCTCCACTTTTGTGAGGAAAGACTCAGCTTCCTTAAGACCATGAAAACAAAAAATTAAAGACATAACATTGAATGATAAGAGAGCCATTTAGATTGTTCACAAGTTTAGTATCTATATCTAAATTAAATACGGATCACAGCCTTTAGTTACTGAAATATTAAAGAATCAAACATGAAACTATACTTGATGCATTCAAGAGCATTATTCTGATATGTACTATGCTGAATGTGTACCAATAGATTTCTGTGTTTCCACTATATTGCATGTGGAAATGAAGGCAGATATGCAATAACAGCATCATCCCTTACAGATAATTAGGAAGAAAACATATGATACTATAATAAATTTGTTACAATTCCCAATTTCTTATCCAAACTATCTCTCCAACTGCCATCAAGTACAGAACAAATGTAACTGCATATTTTTGTCTCTTAATCTTTTATTTTTTTTAATTTTATTTGGAACTGCATTGGTAATATAATTGCCCCAAAAAGCACCAAAACTTGACTATGTGAAAACCCACAGTTAAGTCATTTTTATATGACTAAGCACACACCTAAGAAGGTTAGGTGCTTCATAAAAGTCATGTAATACTTATAAATTTAGGATCTCATAGTATGACCATTATGACAACCTTGTAGATAAAAGATCAATCCAATGATTTAAGAGTATAGAGTGCTTAGAAAACTGCAGCCATAATTCTTCACTAAAGCAGCACAAAGTATTATAATACAATGTTTGAAGAGAAACTAGAACTTATAACCATTAAAAATGTCCTCCAACACTCAAGTAAAGAATACAAAAGTTGCAGTGCCAGTTAAAAACAAAATAAGTGCACTACGAAATTGCATGTCTAAAACCAAGCTTTTTTCCTAATTAATAATAGACTATGCAGAGCGGTAGATTACCAACTAGTGCACTACCAGTATACAAATTTGACAGCATTCCACTTCAACAAATGGCCAATCAAAAGAAAAGCTTCATAGGTCCATAGACAGCACTGAGAAAATAACGATATCTTGAACCATAAGGAATTGTGACCCTTATTTTCTAAACCAAATAGACTATTTGCATTTGCACAAAAATTAAGGGCATTCCAATCAGCATGGTTTTCATTTCACATGTGGTTTTGGAAATTAAGGGGATCCCAAACAGCATACCCTCAAATTTCATCGAAAAAACTGGCATATGTTTTAATACCTAAAACAAATGAAGAAAAGATTCCTTCTTGTTTCGAGTCAAACAGAAAACTACAACTAAAATATCTGTTGTTTTTTGTACTTTTATGACACTTGAACACAAAATTTTTGCTTAGCAAATTAGGGCATGACCAGTAATAATCATAGCAGCATTACTATATTGGTAGCTGAGATTCCAACAGGATACATCTAACACCACTAATTAGCAAAAGGGATGCAACATTTTCAGTTGGAGAATCTAGGGTCCTAATTGAGCCTAAGGGAACAAAATAAGCTCTAAGAGAGTAAAGTATCTTAGTAACTATTATAGGAGCTGAACAGATACAGAGTATCATATACCTAGAGCAGAAGAACAGTCAAATTAAAGAAATCATAGAACAACTGTACAAATGCTGCGTCGTGTAAAAAAAAAAAACACCAAAAAATCAAACAAATTTATAGAAACGGCATAGAATTTGATTCATTCCCGACTATAACTCCAGAGAAGAAAAATAATTCCAAGGCAGCAACGGCAAGGGGTCAGAAATAACAGAAAAGTGAAAGTGTAATAATAACCCTAGGACTTACGTCGAGTAAAGGGAGGAGTTCATCAACCGAAGAAGGAGGCTTGAGAAGCTTGTTTCCAGCTTCCGCCAACTGCTCCTCGAGCCCTCTCCCTGAGGACGCCGCCATCTTCTCAAGATCTCCCACACAAATCTACCGATTCCAACTCAGACCATGTAACGAAACCCTGGGAAGAGAGTTCCCTCGTCGTCCTCCCCCTCTCCCGGACCACGAAATCCCTCGTCGCTTTGGTGTTATTCCCTGTCGGGAGGGAAGATTGGAGAGAAGAGACGGATTGAGTCTTATTCAGATAGGTCGCGGAACCCTAGAAAACCAGTAAAGCCAGATAACTCCACGAACGCAGAGAAGAGATTATGAATAAATAAATAAATAAATATTGAGTATATATATATATATATATATATATATATATATATATATATATATGTGTGTGTGTGTGTATAGTGCTCCGTATATGTGTAATTTTTGTGCATATATATAGTTATATATAGTTACAGATTTTAAGTTGGAGAAGCGGGATTGGAGCGCTGCATTGTAAATTGTAATATTGTATATTGACGCCAAAACCGCGAATTGTCATATACAAGGGCTATTTTGTAATTATAGACCTTTGAAATTTAGAATGTGGTATGCCACTGTGCGGCGCCAAAAAAGCATATTTTTGTAATCAACAATTGAACGTGAAACTTGATGACAATTATATCAAGTGTGATGATAGCAATTTATGATTTTTTTTAAAAATCATAAACTAATAATAGGAAAATGGTATATGTACGTTAAGTCGTTAACAACTAATTTTGTCTTTTTCTTTGACTTTCAGTAATTATATATTTCTCGTTGTTATATACTTATTGATGAGTTATATACCCCGGGTCCGTGCCATCACTTACAGTCGGGTCGAGGTCTCGCGGTTCGGGTCTTGTCCTACAGGTCAAAATTAAAGGTGCGGGTCAAACCCGCCACCCGGAGTATAAAAGGGCCTTTTGGCCCACATAGTGAGGGGGGCCATTCCATTTGGCCATCTTTGGGCTCCTTCTCTCTAAACTATTTCTCTCTTCCTTCTCTCTTCATACACAAAGACAAAGAAAGAACAACATGGAATAAAAGAGAGTTTTGAGCTATTTTTTGTGTTGTTCATACATTCATATACATCTTTTAGTACATACAAGTGACATCCGGGTGAATTAGTAATATCACTTATATTACACACTAGTTTTTTTTTTTAAATAAAGAAGCTAATTCATTAATCATTGATTGAAACGCTTATAATATCATAGTTCAGACGAGTCTATTTTTCATTGTCATGTTTGTCACCCAGGATAACATTCACATACGCTATGACCAGTTTTATTAATTCACGCTTAAAAAGAACTCGCCAAGCAAACGAGCGGAAATAAATAGTCAAAACAACGTACGAGGGGAAAAACACAAAAATGGCAAACAAAATTAAATCAGTAAAACAGAGTAAAAGGGAAATAACCTCACAAGGCGGAGAATAGAAGAAAAACGGCGAAGACAGAGAAGATAATGAAGGCGACGTTGTCTACGGTGGAAAATGGCGGCAGGGGAAGACAATTGGACGCCGCCTCCGATCCGCTTGCTTCACGGAGGCGGCGGCCATGTAGATATTTGAGTAATCGAAAAGCAGAGACGAGAGAGAATTAGGGTTGTATAAAAAAGTACACACTAGT